CGATAATGTAGAAGACAACCTAATTTGCAGTGGTAAAAAAACCGAGAACGGTGAGACGTGGAGCTAAGGGGTGATATAATTATCATGGAGGACTTACGAGTGGCGTAGGGTCGGTTTACCGGAATAAGAGTTTTAATTTTTGAGAGCTAAGGACTATGGTTAACACGAAAAGAAAAACATATACTTCCTTCGAGTCATCTTACCCAAAAAATTTGATTTTTGCTAACTGGCATCTATCTAACTGCTATCTGTTTAAAAACAAACAAAGCGGATTTGTGACGTTCACTGGGCTGCTCGTGTGATACATTAATAATACAAATAATGAAACAGGTAGTCATGCATAACTTAAGTAATATGTTCTGCCCAAAAAGAGATTAAACAATTTCGTTTGACATTTCACAAGTGGGGAGAAAAAGATAATAAAAACTTTTATTTTTTTCCGCCTCATATATTGACGCTATCGGGCTTGGTTAATTCTACTGCTGGGTTCGTCACCACAATCAGACCCGATGGCGGCAGTGCAGCAACCCATCCGGACCTAAATCAGGCGTTTCTCTGCATTTCGACATCCTGGTGGACACCTTTGCGATTCCAGCGGACCAGTCCGTCCCCGAATCGACTTCGGCAGCCTCTTCGGAGGTGCCACCTTCGGAACCAGCTCCTGGTCCCGCACTGGTGGGCCTGAAACCACACACAACACGCCGGACCAACCAAGATGAGTCAACGCAGTCAAAGGCTTCACGAGAGCCGCCTGCCATGAGCCACTCTTGTCTGCTCAATCCTGATTTGCCATTGTCGGACGATGTTTCTCGCGTTCCCTTTAAAGTACATACACCCTGTGTCTGACGGACTTGCGCTGACTGCATCGACTGGCAGTGTGGTCTTCGCACTGTCTCTCTTACGGGCTCTTAATGAACCGGTTCGTGCTGATTATAAATACCAAGGCGGGTCATAACAATTTGGCGACGCATTCTTTCACTCTACAATGGAGGAATTTTGTGCGGACTTGAAGCTTATATTGCAACAGCAGCTGAGGCTGATGGTTACTCTCACCGCCAAGATATCAACCCCCTCCACGGATCAATTGAGTTCTGCTGGTGGCTCTCAATCCGTCAATTACATCGCCAGCAGCATCACCGAATTCTTATATGACCCGCAGGCCCAGATTAACTTTAATTCCTGGTACAAACAATATGATGGTATATTCTCTGTCGATCTGGCTGCTCAAGAAGACGCATGAATGGTACGACTCCTCCTTCGCAAAGTGGGTCCTGCCGAACACGAACGCTACACGAAATTCATTTTGCCCAATAATCCAAGAGACCTTTCCTTCGCCGACACGCTGAAGACGTTGTCGCAGATTTTTCATGAGCAGTCTTCACTGTTCAACACCCGATTCCAGTGTTTCCAGCTGTGCAAACGAGAATCTGTGTCTGATGGACTTGCGCTGACTGCATCGACGCTCTGTACCGTGCTCTTGTCTGAGTTGACTCTTTGTCTGGCAGAAACGGTCTTCTCACTGTCTCTCTTACGGGCTCTTGAGATACCAGTTCGTGCTGATAAGAAGTACCAAGGCGGGTCATAACACTCCTTACGTGACACCCCGATATTTGGACTATGAAAATGGCTCTACCAGCGGTTTTGCTTCCTCACCGAAGGCTCCGAATGCACAGAAAAGTCGGCTGAATAATTTCTGACGAACATCAGACATATGGAAATGGATGCAGACGAGGAAATGAG